GCACTGTATGCAAAAGTTACGCCATTTTTTTCCAACATCGACCATCAAAGCGTTCCAAATATGAAAGTGCCTATTCCTCCACACGAACCTCATCATGTAGTTTCTTGTAAGTGGAAATTGGATTTAAAAGGTGAAATGGCTCCAATGGCAAATGTTATATTCTTAACTAATTTCGATGGTTGTAATTCAAATTTCTTCAGTTTTTTTTTAATCTAATTCCAATCTAAAAGACCCCTATAAATGGTTATAACATTTGGCAAAGAATTTGTAAATGGACCCAAGTTTTTCTTTGACTATACAAGTGAAAAATAATAGAAATTTAGTTTATGGTCTCCTCTTTCACCTTAAATTTTCTTTCATATTTTTCACTATTCTTTACCATATAAAATTCAAGCTCTATATTATTTCATAATTCAGAAATAGGATATAAAGCCTCTTGCATTGGTTTATCAAGTTTCTGGCATTCGGGCTTGTTGTCGTGAGTGCATAAATAAATACTTACAAACAATTCATTCAATTCTATTGTATCTTGGAGGCTTACTTGGATCCCGTGTACTTTTGTAAGTGCAAATATAGTCTTAACGAGAGCGTCATCATTTTCTCTGGAATTATATGGGAGGATATTATTTCAAGCCATTGCAAAGGAGTATCTAATAGAAGAAATAATGTGTGCGAATGAGATTTAGTGAAAATTGTGTCTTTTCCATTGATTGGTGGAGCATAAGGCACAAAATCATCTTTTCCCAGCAGCTGGGAAGCATTGACACTCTGTCGGCGTCAGCGTATTGGTGTCCAACACATATCGGACACCGGTACGTCTCCGACATGTCCCCGAACACTGAAGTTTAGTGGAAGAACTGTTCAAGTAACAACCTCACGAGTCCGTTTCAGGAAGAATTATTGATGCTGCAATTTGAGTCAGTGGCTGAGCAAGAACAGTAAGTGGCGGCTGAGGAAGAAGAATAGTAAACTCTATTTTGTTGAAGGAGAAATGGAGAGGCAAGCCGTGGATGACTCGTAAATGTAAATGATGTCAACTTTGAATTACTATTTTACCCTCAATTAGAGAACAAGAGAGAGGTATTCAATCTAAAAAAGAGGTAAACTTTTAAACTATTTTAATTTACCATATTAACCCTAATCAAAAATAAATCTTGTAAAAGAAGCCAAATCCCCTTTCTTTTAAATTATCCTACACGAAAATTACAAGAAAAAAACCAAAAATAGACTTCAATTTTATTTTAAAAAATAATGTTTTAATTGACGTGTCGACAACGTATCGTGTGGGAAAAACTATTTTAATTTACCATATTAACGCTAATAAAAAATCAATCTTGTAAAAGAAGCCAAATCCCCTTTCTTTTAAATTATCCTACACGAAAATTGCAAGAAAAAAACCCAAAAATTCACTTCAATTTTATTTTAAAAAATAATATTTTAATCAACGTGTGGACGACGTATCATATAAGAACTTTTTCGAAAAATCGCGTGTCGGACACTAGTGTCTGTATCGGTGCTTCTTAGCCTAACCATATTCTTTCTGTAGTTCCTAATTTACATTTCAAACATACAGGCACCTTACCTGTTCGTCTTTTTAAGCACACATTGAGAGAGATGAATAGCAAAAGAGCTGAATCCATAGGTAGGTCTATTTTTATTGCATCTGACCCATGATTCAACTTATTTATCCAAATTATTGGCTTGGAGTTGTTCAGAAACAAAAAAGGAATAATCTTGTACTCATATTGATGGAGTACATGGCGGGTCCTCTCTTGCCTTAAAGATAATCCTCCTGATCTTTCCATCAGCTGTTGCTAGACAGGTATGATTTAATTTTGTACATTTTTGCGTCCATGTGTTATTTGATCTGCTAATAATTGCTGGACTAATACTGTCATTTTTTTAAGCTGATAAAATTCTGATCTTCAGGAACTACAATTGTATTCATTTTCTTTGTCCAGTTTCTTCACAAGGTCTATAATGGCTTCTTGATGTGGTCCAAGGCTAGGCAGAACAAGAGCTCCATGTCTTTATTGTTTTATTTACTGAATTATGGTATTTATTAAAGTAGGGTCTTTTTTAATATTAAAAGAGGAGGAGTAAGAGTGCAATTTTTCATTGTTTAGAATTAGGTTTTAAAACTTCCAGCCTCATCAGTTGGTTCTCAGCTGATTTTAAAAAATAACATTGATGCATAGGTATTCATATCAGCCTTCATTGATCCTTTCTTGATTGTTTGCAAGGAATATACAAGTTTTGTGATCTCATAGTGTCTTCCTTTATTCTATTCCACATACAAACTTCTGTTTAATGTGAGCATGCTCAAGGTTACGGGTTTCATCTTTGGCACCGTTTGATGGCTTTTTGGCCTTTACCCCAATGTTTACATCCTCGCCTCTCTCATTTGTATAATTCTCTCCATTCATAATCCACGCGAATTACATGCTTATTATGACTTCTGTGGTTTAATTAAGAGAAAATGTCGCACGCTTACTCTACAAATTTGACAGGCATTTGAAGGGTACTGGCATATCTTAGTCGTACGCTGTCTAGCATCATGACTCAGCAATGCAACAAAAGAGGTTCTGTGGTTTTCATGAGGGAAGTTTGTTGCTACCAATTGGAGATCATTTGGGTAACAATTCAATAACAGTGGATAAAATACCAATATGTTAGGATATTGATCGGCCATTTCCATATGGGATTTATCAGTTTGCTCATCTGCTTATTCAAGAAATTCTGTGACAACTAAGATCCTCTATTCCAACCTTTGAGGTTTAATGACTTCGAGGTAAAAGACAGATGGAATTTATGTCATGATATATGCCGGGCTGCAATTAAGATGTACATATATTTTTCCGCAGTGTATAAGTACTATTGATACTATAAGCATTTTGTTAAGGTAGTTTAGACAGTATTGTATTGTATTAAAGAAGAATAATATGCACAAATTTTATTTATTGCATTGTCTTTGCCATCTAGTACTAAAAATGAGATATTAAAACTTCGAATAGGAATAGTCTGCACTAAATTTTCTGGCATTTGTGTTTATGACACCGGAAACGTGGTGGCAGAATGAGGAGGTAACAAAAGAATACATGGGCAATGATCAACTTGCCACTAGAAGGAATATATCGATGGGACACGGAATTCTTCAAAGGTCAAACTCACCATCCAAATTAATTCATTTAAGGGATAGGAGTGACGAGAAGAAGAAATTCATATTCTAAACAAGTCAAAGGCTCAATACGTATTAAACACAATCCAAGTCTCTGAATGTTATTGCACTGAAAAGAGTACTCATAGACTAGAATAGCCCTCTAACCATATTTGTTTCCAAGACGAATATTTAAACTACCTTCACTGCATTTTCCTAAACATTGGAATGAAAATATATGATTTATAAGAAAAAAAATTCTTGTATATTGACCTAGAAAACAATTGACCTCTTTCGAACTCTCTTGGAGGATTGAAAGATGAAACCTTCTTCAGTTTCCAAGTAGCTTAACTCACCAGCCTTGAGAAAAATGATCATAACATTCTAAAGAATTATCAAAATTGAGATCAGTAGATCTGTGGTGGATGAATTATATGGAGTGGAGGATGAAGTGCAGATATTTACAGGAAAATGTGCATGCGCATTAAATGCAGATATGTAAATATAAAAATACTGATGTACATGCAAATAAAAATGGTAAAATGTCTTGTCTAGTCCACATTTGATGGTAAAATGACTTCAATTTTGCGGAAACTAATGCCTGTCCTGTCTTGTTTTGGTGAATTACGCCATGCATAATAGAGAGGGGCTAGTATATATGTGAAGTGGAAACCATAGCTGATTTGCATGTCGTAAGATTATCAGTTGTGGTACATGTTTTTCACATTTGTTATGTTAAATTGGGTTTGAGACCTAAAGATCGAGTATTCATGGTGAATTGGTTTGAACGTTCCAAATGATGTAGGAAATGTTCATAAGTGCCAAGTTTAGATGGTTACAACTCCCCAATCAACGAAGAAGTTAATGAAGACAGAATACTGGACTTCCCTGTACTAAAAAATTTCAAACAGGGACTTGGATCATGTAGACAACAAAAGCTTGCATACTACACTCTCTTTGAAAAGCCAGCTAGTGAGAGCAGTGATGGCAATAATAAGAAATGCAAACACTCATCTAGCGACAAAGAGGCTAGTCTTTCTGATATCTAAGGACACCAAAAGATGATAGCGGCGCACATTAATCTAGTGGCAAAGTGGCATGTCTTGCTACATCTATAGGAGGACGGCAAAAGATTAAAGAGGAGCACATTCATCTGGTGGAAAAGAGGCAAATCTTGCTGACATCTATTGAAGGGCCGCAAAAGATGACAATGGCAAACATTCTTCTAGTGACAAAGAGGCAAATCTTGCTAACATCCATAAGAGGACAGCAAAATATGGTAGTAGCTGCATAACAATATTTGGAGGACGGAACGATTCAAGCACCCAAACTCAAGCCTCGGAGTATTTTCTGGCTAATCATTGAAGAACGATTATATTCCATCTTTATTCTTTCTGTCATTGTTAATTGTTTTAATTGCTTTCTCTTTTTAGCCCAGTCAGATCTTATATCTTGCTTTTTTTGTGGGTCTATTCTTATTTAAAGACACTAGATCAGTTTTTTAGTGGACCAGTACTTACCGAAGTAAAACTCCCTATGGGTGTGTCGTGCGTCGCGCGTGCCACTCTATATATGTGTGTACGTTAAATGCATATGTACATCAAAAAATCACTCATTGACATTCAACTAATGCTAATAAATAGTTTTTTTTTTTTTTTAAACAACCATTAAACTAAAATATCATCAAAAACTTAACATATTTCTAACAACCTATTATGGTCCTCTATCCTAACCAATTTTACAAGAAAACTCGAAATCTAGTTATTCGTGTTCTCATTGTTCCTTTACTAATCTCCCCTTCAATACCTAGAACTTACAAAAAGCCCCAATTCAGAGAGTTGGTATGGCAATTTCTCCATCTCGACTCAGCTCCCAAATGGTACCGAAGACTCTTCCTGGTTCACCAGAGGCTGTTACATTGGCACGGTGGATTTGCAGGAGCTATAGGTATAACTTCATATAATCGATTCATATTAGAGATTGTTATGTGGATTAGACCTTTTACTAGACTTTTTAGAGGGGTAAAAATGATGTCTAGCCCAAAGAAATTTGTGGTGTGAGGTGAACAAATTGTTGAATAGCTCTGGTGGGAAATTATGGTTAAACCTTTAGTGCAATTTTCATTAATGTGTTAACATTAATTATTTATTTATTTATGTTGGGGAATCATTTTATACAATGTGTCAAACTGAATTTCAATGCCTGATTTAACATGAAACTAACCATGTCCTCCAAGGCCATCCTTCAACGAAAAGAATGCTGCAAATGTCCTTCAACTTTGAAACATAAGACAATTGACGTTTTTGAACCAAAATCCTTTTATTTCAGCCATTCAGATGCACCAGTGAACGTAAATTTCTTAGCTGCATAACATACCGGATCTAGTTTATCATGCCTTCCTTATTATATGAGTGACAATTGGGTTTCTCTTGTTGATTTTACCATCCGATTCACAATTTTTAGGTTGATCTGGTGCATTTGTGGTTTACTTCATCTTTTTTCTTTCTATCACGCATTTCCATTTTACTTTCCTGATTCTATTATATTATGGCCCTGTCTGTGCCTGATTTCTTGCAAAATTTGGAACGTTGAGCCGCAAGATTCTCTCAAACTTTCCTGATTTCTTTTTTCATTATCTGAGGATTATCTTGTGTGTTCATATCTTGCAGGAGCTACTTCTCTTGGAAGAAGATGTGAAGGCATTGGAAGAGATGTACCCTCAAGGTGAAAAGGTGATGACCTAAAAATATAGTCTGTTCATCTGTATTGTGATTGTATAAGCGTTCTGACCTAGAAAGAAGGAAAGTTTGAATAATGTTGTTGCCTAATGTATTCAGGCTGAGGCGTCATGGGCTATGTCTGTGCTTGGCTACCTAGCCAAACTTGTACTGGGTGTTCTAGGGGACGTTCTTGTTACTTTTGTATGCTTAATGGTTTTGCTGCTGTTTGACCTACTGATCTATTTTGGATGTGTGTTTTCTGAAACCTGACTGACAGCATATTTTTTTTTTTGGCTTTGAACAGGCTGATTGTTTCAGTGGCTTGGATTGCACATATTGTCATATATTTGCTGATTGACCCTCCTATTTCTGCATTCCTTAATGAGATCTTCATCAAATTGGATGATGTTTGGGGTATATACTTCTGCTTCTCACTTCTTTCATTGTCTACTGCTACTTTTAGGTCTGCTGGGGACTGCAGCATTTGCATTCTTCTGCTTCTATCTACTGCTTGCAGTCATCGCTGGGGCAATGATGCTTGGATTGAAATTAGTTTTTATAACTATCCATCCTATGAAGTATGTATACTTGTAGTATTAGATTTTTATTGGCTGTTTAACCTCAGATTTTATTATCTTCCACATACCACAACCCTCCTTTATCTATTTTCAGACACATGTGAATCTTTTTAAAAAAAAATTCGCAAATGGAATGATAAGATTGGCTAAACTTTTTTCTCACTCTCATCTTGCTCTAATAATATGCAGTGCATGTTCTGGGTTGGACCATTCATTGGGGCAACACTTTTCGCTCTGTACCATGTTCAGTTGATACACTTGGGACTATTTCTAGCAACAATTCCTTTGATGGTTTCTAAAAGGCCTTTTTTTGCTATCATTGGGGCAACACTTTTCGCTCTGTACCATGTTCAGTTGATACACTTGGGACTATTTCTAGCTACAATTCCTTTGATGGTTTCTAAAAGGACTTTTTTTGCTTTCGTTCTTCTTTCCATTTGATTTGTATTTGGATTTCTCTTGCAGGCCACTCAGACATAACAAAACCAGTACCACAGAATGTTAGGGGCTTCATCTTCCTGCAAGAGAAATCCAAGCCTAATTGAAACAGTATTTTCTGTATTGAAATGATTAGTTTTTCCAGCAATAGATTAAATGGTAGAAATGATTCAGTTGATGCTAATTTTTAACATATTGCTGCCTGCCTTACGGGAATTGTTCAACTACAGACTTACTTTGGCGTTTGCTTAGGTTATAGTGGAATTGTCTCACCTGTTAGCTAGATGGGCATATTTTTGTTTTACATGGGCATATTTTTGTTTTACAAGTTTGGAATGTTTATGGTGTCCACAATTTTTTGCAGGCACATAAGGAGAAATCTACAATAATTCAAATTCTAAAGCAGGAGAATGAAGGCCTTGTACAGTTTACTGCTACAGATGAAGATTCTACTAGTAATGGTGGAAGTAATGTCTTGAAGTCTTGGGCTATTTTAGCATGATAGGGTTGCTTAGAGTAAATTTGTTTGTTGGGTGATTATCACACTGGATGGAAGTGCTTACTATCAATTGATGTATTACCATTTTGAAACTCATTTGTATTTAGGTGTTTTTGTATCACATTCTAATATTCAAGTGTATGGATTCAAAAATTTGTAATAAAATTATCAATTTTTATGCAATTCCAAAATTTGTTCATAAGGATTCATTTTTAATTTTGTCAATCAATTTGAGAAAATTGCTGTAAAAAAAAAAAAAAAAATTCCCTACGGCAACGTTTAAAAAACGTTGCCGTAGGGGGTCTACGGCAACGTTTAAAAAAACGTTGCCGTAGGGGTCCTATTCTACGGCAACACCTTGATTTGCAATACACATCCAAACGTTGCAAAAGGTCTACGGCAACGTTCAAAAAACGTTGCCGTAGACTATTTTTGTTGTAGTGATAATGTAAAAAGTCACATTGTGTCACTTTTTAAACAGAAAAGTCACATTGTATCACTTTTTAAAAAGAAAAGTGACATTGTGATAATAAACAATTGAATTGTCACTTTGCTAGATAAAATTAATAAACAAAGAATATTAATAACTTACTTTTTTTTTTTACCCACCCTTTGTTGTACCAAAGCTCGAAAGCATCAACGTCATATGCAAAAGGAGGGTCCAAACCAACAGGAAATGCATAGGTGCCTTTTACAACACGTTTTATAGTCCTTGATGTAGAATCATACTCATTCACCCAAGGGGACTGAAGTAATGCTGCAGGTTTCTTTTGTCTCTTCAACGGCACATTTGGTGTAACTTCATCATCAATTAGAATAGCATCAACATTTTTCTCTTCAATTTCAGCTTCAGCTTGAATTGCATCTGTTATTTCCACAACTTTTTGCCAAACTTCATCCTTTAATTCAACCTCATTGTCCAGCACTTGAAATCCGGGTTCAAAAGATGATGATGTAACACGCTGAAACATAATCATTAAAACAAATATATTAATTTAAAAACAAACATAAATTATAATAAAAACGATAATCAAATGAAAATACAAATACTTCTTGATTTTTTGCTAAATTACGAGCAACATCATGGTCAACTCTTAACCAATCATCTTCAATAAATTCAACTTCTTCATTCAAATTCATTTCAAGTGCCTTTTTACTTCCTTCAACTTTCTTGTCACTATTTTCAAATTCCTTACTACTTTTTTCCACTATCTTGTCACTTTCATGAACTGCCGTCTCTGTTTTACTAAGTAGCACCTCAACATATTTTTCTTCGCCATTCATTTCAAACTCAACACCTAAAGAAAAATTAGGAAAGTCATAAAACACCTGGTTTGTCATCTTCGTTTCATTTGGTAAACTCTCCACATAATCCTACAAAAAACAGTTAATTTCAGAAAATCAAAAAAGTCTGAGACTAAAAAAGTGACAAAAACTAAACAAAAATTTGCATGTATTAAATTTTTACTCGAAAAAACTTGAATACCTTCGTTACTTTTTCATTACTAGCCATCAGCATACTGTCCATTTTCTGTTCCAAATCTTGTAGACGCTCCATTACTTTTTCATTACTAGCCATCAGTATACTGTCCATTTTTCGTTCCAAATTTTGTAGACGCTCCATAACTTCATCATTCATTTTAACCCTCTTTTCAACCTCTCTTAGACGGTTCTCAAATTTGTTTGACTGAATTTTAATTTCGAGGTTAGAAACGCGTTCAGAAATGATGCCATCTGACTGCACAACTTTCATTTCAACCTCAACCAACCTTTTCCAAAGTTCTTCATTAGTCTTTGAGGCTCCCTGAAAAACATTAGTAAAGATAAACTTATTTTAAAAGTGACACTGCATCCAAAAAGTGATAAAAAAATGATGCACTGTAACAAAAAGTGAAAAAGTGACAGAGTCAATTTTTAAACACATTTTTGTGATAAAAAAGTGACACTGCATCAAAAAAGCGACACAGTGTCACTTTTTTACAAAAATAGTTGCACAATATGATAATAAAATAACAAATGCACAAACCTCATCATTCTTTCCTTTGTCCTTCTTTTCTAAAGACTTGCCAGAACAGCCAACAGATGGTGCATCCAGTAACTTCTTTTGTTGACCTATTGGATGCTCAAAGTCGTCGTCGTCCTCGTCACTGCCCAAACTTTCACAATTCGTTTCAACAAACAAGCCAACTGCATAGTTTTCTTTCTTCTCTACCTCAAGAGGCACCACTCGATTTACTTCCAGCTGAAAAATACAAAATCATATAATTTACAAGAACACAAAATACTAAAGATATAAAATAAATAACAGAAATGTAGAAAACTTACTTTAACCAAATAAAAAATGCTCTTCCTTAAAGTTACAAATGTCGCGTGCTCTTTGCAACTCCAACTCAACATCCGAGGAAATTGAGGTTTATGCTTGATGCAAAACCTCTTTTGAGAAATAGCAGGAATGGTTTCATAAATCCATACTTGAAAAGCAAGTAGGAATCCACTCAACCTATACTCTAAAAATTTCTTTACGGTAAAAATATTCTTCATTCTTTTGTTAAAGGCATTCTTCAATGATGATAGAGTAACACTAAAAATTTCTTTACCCCAAGAAAAATGATTCATCTCTTCAGACTCCACAAGACAAAAAAAGGAATCATCAATACCCTTGTGATAAGAGGTACCAAACAGGAAGAATGTAATAAGATAAACTAGGCCTATATAAACTGCATCTTTATCTACAGTGTTGATTGGAAGATTAAGGAACACTTCTTGAACTACTTTTGCTGAGATGCTTTGGTACTCTTTGAAGTAATGCTCTTTCAAATGGCTATTCTTCATTCTAAATCTAGTAAAATCACCATTTCCAAAGTATCTCAGTCCTGAGATTAAACAGAACTCCTCAAATGTTGAAATATATTTCATTTGCATTCGGCTGCTTCACCTCCCTGAGTAGCAGTTGATGTATCAGTTGTGATTGCAACTCTATTACACTCAAATCTATAAAGGCACCAAGGCATGTATTTNGTAACTTTCCCCTTGAACCAACAATTTTGGGGGATTATAAAATTCCAATCCTACAAAAAGATATGATAATGATTAAAATTATGTTTGTAACATACAACAATCAAAAAATGGCTTACACTAAAAAAAGTGACAAACACTTCAAAAGAACCACTAATTAGTTTCCTTTAAACATGAATCTGGAAAAATAGATATTGTAGCTATACGTGATCTATAGCACATACTCTTACACAAGCACATTACTCCAGCACATACTAAAAAAAAACTGCACATTACTCCAAAATACTGCACATTACTCCAGCACATACTTTTGTAGCTATACAGGATCTATAGCAAATACAAGAACAAGCACATTACTCCAAAAAAAATGCAAATTACTCCAGCACATACTCTTGTAGCTATACAGGATCTGTAGTATATACAAGAACAAGCACATTACTCCATCACATACTCTTACACAAGCACATCATTTCCATAGCCATCAAGAAAATGACTTCACAAATCCGTTCAAGAAAACGAACACAGCAATAATTATCAGAAAACGAGCAAAACAATTGTAGAGCGACAATGACCGAAAAATGAACCTTGGGTTTATAAGATTTCTTCTTCTTTGAAGATGGTTCTTCATCGATGTATCTTTTCCTCTTCAACACACTTTCTCCAGCCATTGCAGAAATAGGAATAGGATTTTGGTATCGAAGTTGGTGTCGGAATGAATAGGTCGACTATTTGATATTTCTAGGGTTGAAGTTTAAGATATCCACGAAATGAGAAGAAAGTAGATCGGAAACATGGACTTGGCTGCCGTAGCACCACCATTGTTGTCGTACCGGTGACTGCAGAGAAGCGTGCAATGTCTGTGGGATTTGAGAGATTTTGAGTTTTGTTTTGGGCGACTGCAGACGAGGGTGCAAGATATGTGGAGTTTGGGTTTTGTTATAAGTTAGAACGTAATTAATATGGCTTTGGAGTGTTTAATTTAGTTCCCCTAATTAATTTAGAGTATTATTCTAATTTGGCCAATTTTTAGAGTATGGGGCCTAATTTTCCCCGTTTAAAAAGTT